CCCCAAAACCCCAAAACCCCAAAACCCCAAAACCCCGTCATTAAATTGAGAAGAGGATTAAAAGTAGGAATATTTAGTAAATTAATATATAAATATATATAGATATATTTGCCTGAGTGCTCGTATAAAAAGCTAATTATATTATTGCGATTTTAATGGGTGAACCTACTTCCTCAAAAGGACAAGCAAACGAATCAGCTGTACTTTCTCAGCCAGAGGACGAACAAGACTAACAAGCCACGTCTTATATAAACGACCTAACTCAAGCTCACAGTTTTTAAATACAAAAAGCAGAAATTAAGCCTACTCGATCAAGAGCTCTCAAAATCGGCACTTAAACTCCGACTCTGACAGTGCAATGCCTCACGACGAAAGTGAATGAGGGATTTACCAAAGATTAAGCTATTTTTAACGGTGAAATTAATTAGCAGGATCATATTTTAAGCCCCCTAATGAGGAAGCATAGTTCCTCCAAGAAAAAAGAGATGTTTACACAACAGAAATACCCAAGTGCAGCTAGCAATTATTTGCAACCGAGTAAATAGCGTAAGTTCTCTTAACCCAACATAATTATTTATATAGATCCTAAAGATGATTATGATGCCTAGAGCTCAAATAAATCTATATAGGATATTTTCGAGGCTCAGTTGAAAGACATACAAAGTAATCCTGAATTTAGAAAAAAAAGAACAGTTTCCATGACAAATCGTAAAAAACCCAAAAACATATCCGTTTAGGGCAGCCATGATAATATGTCAGTAAGAGGTTTGAATGACGATTCGGTGAGTAGAAGTGCTGCTAACTCCCCATACTTCAAGCCTGGCACAATTAAACCTTAGAGAAGACGAGATCAAAACGGAGTGAGAATAATCAAGGGTTCTAAAAATCACAAAATATCATTCACGGACTAAGCACAGAACCTCCGCTTAGAAGAGGTTTTTATAGTTGAAAGTTACAAGGAGTACTATTAAAAGCAAGATAACTACGATTCTATTAATTGCACCTGTAGCATATACTGATCAGCGAATCAGTTCAAGCAGAGTATTGAGAAGCCTAAAATCACTCTAATACTTGCTTATGTCTACCAGTAAATAATTATACTTTTGGAGTTTCTTATAAAGCAAATACTAGGGCTAGCTTGGGAAAGGTTTCTAAAGAAATTCTGATCTCATCTTCATATAAGCTAGTCGTAGAATTGTCATTATTTCTTCAACATTTTAACGCATTCTTTTTTTTAATTCATTGCCTTTTAAAACTATTATTTTGATGCCAGGGGTTTTGGGGTTTTGGGGTTTTGGGG